GGCCCGAAACGTCAGCCTCTCTGCTCCTATGATGCTGCTTGGCCTGCCGTGTTCATCCAGCCCTGCACCTTGTTGTCTCGGATTCTCCAGCATCTGCAGTTCCTACTATCTCTGGTAATGACTAGATAATCAGTTAAGTCTCCAGCACAGAACTTCACACCTACATCTCATGAATGAAAAAAAAATTATGTAGAATTCAAGTTGCGCCCCAACCATTGTCTTGGGCACAGAACTCTGTCAGGAGAGAAGGGATGTCTTACAATGATATGTTGGTAAGAGTTACGAGGAGGTGGGTCTCAGAAGCTCAAATCTGCTTTATTATCTTTTGATTCTCTCTTCACTTAAGCTATGTTCGAACAGCTCTGTGACGCGGGACTCTGTGCTCTGTGATCTGTTCCCCAGGGCGCACACTGAGACAAACATCAACTGCACCTAGAGGACATCAACTCAGTGAAAAACACTCTTTGGCCTGCCTGAACCTTCTTTGTCTTCCAGAACAAGGATTTGAACCTGGCCGAGTGTTGCAGACTGGCACATTCCAAAGTTCAGGACTACATGCTGAGGGACGCACTAAAGCTTGGGGCAGCCGCCAAGGCAACATGGGGAAAGACCAATATCTGAGGTCTTTCTGCTGAAATTAAATGGGGGTCTGTTCAGTTACCGGACCCTCCAAGTGTGTCAAATATATGTAAATATTAGTATTGTAGGTCTAAGAGAGGTCTTTGGCTTTGTGGATAGTCAAACTCCATTGTTTTGTGTGTTTACTCGTTATGCAACTGTGGAGAACCGAACTGCTTTTGTGTCAATGTATATATACATAGCTTTTTATGAATAAAGTATATTTTTGGAATTAATAAAAACACCTCTCCTGGTGTCACAGCTAAACAGGTCTATCCACTCAAAGATAGATTTCTTTTTCGGTCTTGAGTGTTCTCAGTCAGATCCACCAATGTAAAGCTGGTGTTCTTCTCTGGCCACTGCCTCCTGCTGGCCGACTATTGCCTACAGGATGAACAACGGGCCAGCATGGGAACGTGGAAGTTGAACGTGAAACTTGTCGACCCCAGAAGACATTGAGGAGCTCAAATGGGATTATACAAATTGAAGAATCATGGAACCCCTCTTTGAGTCTCCAGTGGAAACAATCAAGGTGAATATTAAGAGGTTCTTCATTCACAAAGATGTTCAGAGGGTGACAGAGAGCGAGAGGGAGGGAGGGAGGGAGGGAGAGAGAGAGAGTGAGATTGAGAGAGACAGACACAGGGGAAAACTGTCCAAGCTGCTCTCCCTTGTCTACAAGAAGCAGGTGGAGAGGGATTTTGAAAATTAGAAATTGGCGACCAATTTCATGGTTGAATGTGGATTAGGAAATCCTGTTGAAGGTCCCCACCAACTGGGTCAGGACTGCTCTGGGATTGGTGCTTCATCCCAACCAGACCTGCATTGCACCGGGCAGGGCAATCTGCGAGAGCCTCGAGCTCCTTGGGGATACAACTGCCTACATGCAGGACGGGGCGGGGGGGTGGACGCCTTCCTCATCAATCTGAACCAGCAGAAGACCTTTGATAGGATATTGCATTCGTACATGTTTCATTGATGTAGGACGTGCTCCCCAAACTGGGCTTTGGGGAGGAAATCCACAATGGGATCTGACTGCTCTACACCAACATCATTCGTGCAATTTCAAACAACGGGTGGGAATCAGAAAGCTTCCTGATCAGATCTGGAGTCAGGCAGGGCTGCCCTCTCTCTACTGCCTTCTTTGTGTGTTGTATAGAGCTATTTGCCAACTGCATCAGGAAGGATACGAGCCTGAGAGGGGTGTCTATTCCAGGCACGCAGGTCAAAGCCTCCCTGTTCATGGGTGACACTGCCATTTTCTGCTTCGATCCGCAGTCAGTGCACAGACTCACAGTCATCTGCAACCAGTCTGAACTGGCCTCGGGAGCCAAGGTAAATCGAGACAAGAGTGAAGCCATGTTCTTAGGGGACAAGGCCAACTGATCCTTTACCCCTTCACTGTTTAGAGCTATTTTAGTATCTTGTGTATGTATATGAAGGTTTTTTTTGTAAATAAAGTGTATTTTCACATTGAAAAAAAATACCTTTCCTGGTATCAATGCTCATCAACTTGGAATAAGCACCACAGCAGTGCTCTTTGGCACTGTCTCTCCAAGTATCCCAAGCCATTGGTCCTCTCCTATTTAAAATATACATCTTTGTTTGCCACCCCTTTCAACTCTCTTAGAAAGGGACAGATGTTTGCTCCTTCTCCCCCTCTATGAAGCACACGAGGACATGATCTTCATGAAAGACATCTTACAAAGGTAATCTGATGTTAAGAATAGAAAGCTGAGGAAAAGAATGAATCAAAAATCTAGATTTTTCTGGGATTATACAAACATACCTTTTTATTTTCTGCATCTGGTCAATAGTTTCTGGGAGTGGAATATTGTTGGTCTCAGGCAGAAACAAGACGAGAATTGCTGAAAACACTGTCAAGGTCCCCATCAGAATATACGGCAGAAATTCATGGTAAATTCCTGTGAAAATAAGGAGCACAAACTCTCATAGCACATTAAGAAGCCTTAGACAGCACATTTCACAGGTATTGAGGTGAAAGAATCACTTTTAATTGTAGTTTCAATGTAGGTACAGGAATATAATGGGCTGGGATTTAGTTTTTCTATTTTTGAGGTCATCTCCAGCTCAAAGTATGGAAAAATGGTTTAAAAAAGTGACAAAATTAAAAAGCTATTTATCTGCATGGATCCAGCATTTGTAGAAGATAGATGAATTGATGGCATAAAAAGAAATAAATTGATGTGTTGTCATTTATAGAAATGTGGTTGCAATGTGACCAGGGCTCGTAACTAAATATTCAAAATATTTTTAAAGAAGTTGGATAGCTCTGTTTTTGTAGAATTAGATCAGGGCAGTAGTGAGAAATGATCTTGGCTCAGAAAATTATACATTGGGTGGAGACAATAAATAATAATGGGAAAAGGTTATTGGAGTAAAGATAACACAGTATGGAGCTGGAGGAACACAGCAGGCCAGGCAGCATCAGAGGAGCAGGAAAGCTGACATTTCCGGTTGGGACCCTTCTTTGAAATTGGGGAGGGGGAAGGTAGCTCTGAAATAAATAGAGAGGAGGGGTGGGGCTGAGGAAGGTAGGTGGGATGGTGACGGGTGAGTGCAGATAGGCAGTGGTGGGGATTGGTCAGTGAGGTGGGAGGAGCGGATAGGTGGGACAGAAGACGGACAGGTCAAGGAGGCGGGGATGTGAGGTAGGGTTGGTCATGGGATAAGGCAGGGGGTTGGGGAGATTTTGAAACTAGTAAAGTCTACATTGAGACTGGAGTAAAGTCTATCAGCTTCCAAACAGTAGTTACCCTGTAGGACAGTCGATAAAATCAATAAATAATGGGAGGTTGTAAGAAATGAACTTTAATAATCATGAATATTTTAATTTTCATATTATTTGGACAATGCAGGTTGGCAAAGGCAGCCTTGAGGACAAGTGCATAGAATGATGTTTGGGACAATTTCTGCAAAATGATTTATATGCAGAAAATAGGGAGGGGAATGGGGTAGGGAGTAAACAATAGGATAGAGCCCAAAGAGAGAGAAGAGCAGTTGGACAGACAAAGATTATCTGGCTAGCCAGATCGTTATCAAACTCCTTTGTCTATCCAATTGCTCTTCTCTCTCTTCGGGCTCTATCCTATCGTTTACTCCCCACTCCAAGCCCCTCCCTATTTTCTGCATACAAACCTACATTTTCCCAGCTACCATCAGTTCTGAGGAAGGGTCACTGGACCTGAAACGTTAACTCTAATTTTTTTCTTCACAGATGCTTCCAGACCTGCTGAGCTTTTCCAGCAACTTCTGTTTTTGTTCCTGATTTACAGCATCCACAGTTCTTTAGGTTTTTGTTTCTACAAAATGATTGTTTGGAACCAATCAAGAAATGCCCTAAATTAGTCTTGCAAAGTGTAATCAGGCAGAAGTAATTCATGATTCCAGTATGCAAGGAATGATAATAGCATTGCAGAACTTCAAATTCAGATTAAGGATGTGAAACTTGTCTGTGAAAATAGTGTTCATTTCTTATACTTTGTGCACTTATTGGTAAAGGTGAGAGCACTTTTTTTTATTATCCTGAACTGGCATCTTTAATGATTGGTGCAAATCATCGTCATCAACCTGTATTTGTGCCAATAATGCATTAATATTGTGCTGAATACTACACACATCCATAAAATTCCATTAATTTTGCCTTTTTAAAAACATATTTTCCACCTCTTTTGGCCGTATTTACTGCTGTTTTTCTATTTTGTGTACACTCTGTCTCTTCGTGTCCCCCTGCAGGTATCGTTATCCAAATAGCTGCCTTGTAATGTTTTCTTATCTTCTAGCTTTATAAGCCTATATGTCCCCTCTCTCAACCCCTCCCCCACCTCTAATTAGATGAAAACTCTCTCTAAAGTCTTAGTTATATGATTCACCAGGTCAGTGGTCCCAGCACAATTAAAGTGAAGCCCATCCGACCAAAATAGCTCCTTTCTACCCCAGTACTGGTGCCAGTTGCCATGAACTTCGACCCATTCCACTCATACAGATTCCTGAGATGTGGATTTGACTCTGAGACATTGTTTAACTTATGCCAGTTTGCTTATAACTCAGGTAGCATTCCAGGGATTATCACCTTTGGTGTTCTGCTTTTTAATTTAGCTGCTAACTGTTCAGTCTTTCAGCAAAATGTAATTTGTAGTCCTACCAATGTCACTGGTACCACATGGACAATAAGCACTGGATCATTACCCTCCCTCACCATTTCTCTGGAGATGTCCTCAACTCTGGCACTAGGCAGTCAACACAGCTTTTGAGATAACAAGGTGCAGAGCTGGATGAACACAGCAGGCCAAGCAGCATCAGAGGAGCAGGAAGGCTGACGTTCAGGTCTAGAGGGATGAGTTGCGGGAAATGTGGCCACAGCCAGCAGCTCCAGAGGAGACAGTAGCACCCAGCCCTGCCGAGTCTTCACCATCCCCCCAGACCTCCCCCTTACTGAGGACGAATGGTCAGTCCTCAGTAAAGGGCTCACCTTTGTCCCTCTCCACCCACACATCAACGAATACCGGTCACGTTTGGGCATTGAGCAGTTTTTCCGCCGCCTCCGCCTCCACGCTGACTTCTTCAACCGTGAACCTAACCCTCCCTCTACTGACCCCTTCTCCCGCTTCCAACATACCCCCTCCTCCTGGACACCACCCCAAGGCCTCCTACCCTCCCTCGACCTCTTCATCTCCAACTGCCGTCGAGATATCAATTGCCTCAACCTCTCGACCCCTCTCACCCACTCCAACCTCCCCCCCGCAGAACATGCAGCCCTCCGCTCCCTCCGTTCCAATCCCAACCTCACCATAAAACCCACGGACAAGGGAGGCGCAGTTGTAGTATGGCGCACTGACCTCTACATCGCCGAGGCCAGACGCCAACTCTCCGACATTTCCTCATACCGCCCCCTTGATCATAACCCCACCCCCGAGCACCAAACCATCATCTCCCAAACCATCCACAACCTCATCACCTCAGGTATTCTTCCACCCACAGCCTCTAACCATATCATTCCCCAACCCCGCACTGCCCGCTTCTATCTCCTTCCTAAAATCCACAAACCTGAATGCCCTGGTCGACCCATTGTCTCCGCCTGCTCCTGCCCCACCGAACTTATCTCCACCTATCTCGATTCCATTTTCTCCCCCTTGGTCCACGAACTCCCTACCTACGTCCATGACACCACCCACGCCCTCCACCTCCTCCAAAACTTCCAATTCCCCGGTCCCCAACACCTCATCTTTACCATGGACGTCCAGTCCCTATACAACTGCATTCCCCGTACAGATGGCCTAAAGGCCCTCCACTTCTTCCTGTCCTGCAGGCCCGACCAGTCCCCCTCCACTGACACCCTCATCCGCTTAGCCGAACTCGTCCTCACCCTCAACAACTTCTCTTTTAATTCCTCCCACTTCCTACAGACAAAGGGGGTGGCCATGGGTACCCGCATGGGCCCAAGCTACACTTGCCACTTAGTAGGTTATGTGGAACAATCACTCTTCTGTACCTACACTGGCCCTAAACCCCACCTCTTCCTCCGTTACATTGATGACTGTATCGGCGCTGCCTCGTGCTCCCACGAGGAGCTCGAACAGTTCATCCACTTCACCAACACCTTCCTCCCCAACCTTAACTTCACCTGGACCATCTCCAATATCTCTCTCTCCTTCCTGGACCTCTCTGTCTCCATCTCGGGCAACCACCTAGAAACCGATATCCATTTCAAGCCCACTGACTCCCACAGCTACCTAGAATACACCTCCTCTCACCCACCTTCCTGCAAAAATGCCATCCCCTATTCCCAATTCCTTCGCCTCCATCGCATCTGCTCCCAGGATGAGGCATTCCACTCCCGCACATCTCAGATGTCCTCATTTTTCAAGGACCGCAACATCCCCCCCCCTCAGTGGTCGAGAACGCCCTCGACCATGTCTCCCGCATTTCCCGCAACTCATCACTCACACCCCCTCCCCGCAATAACAACCAAAACAGAATCTCCCTCGTCCTCACGTACCACCCCACCAACCTCCGGTTCCAACGCATCATCCTCCAACACTTCCGCCATCTGCAATCTGACCCCACCACCAAAGACACTTTTCCCTCCCCACCCTTATCTGCTTTCCGGAGGGACCACTCTCTCTGTGACTCCCTTGTCCGCTCCACACTCCCCTCCAGCCCCACCACACCCAGCACTTTTCCCTGCAACCGCAGCAAGTGCTACACCTGCGCCTACACCTCCCCCCTCACCCCCATCCCAGGTCCCAAGAAGACTTTCCACATCAAGCAGATGTTCACCTGCACATCTGCTAATGTGGTATACTGCATCCGCTGTTCCTGTTGTGGCCTCCTCTACATCGGGGAAACCAAGTGGAGGCTTGGGGACCGCTTTGCGGAACACCTATGCTCGGTTCGCACTAAAAAACTGCACCTCCCAGTCGCGAACCATTTCAACTCCCCCTCCCATTCCTCAGACGACATGTCCATCCTGGGCCTCCTGCGGTGCCACAACGATGCTACCCGAAGGTTACAGGAACAGCAACTCATATTCTGCTTGAGAACCCTGCAGCCCAATGGTATCAATGTGGACTTCACAAGCTTCAATATCTCCCCTCCCCCTACCGCATCCCAAAACCAGCCCAGCTCATCCCCGCCTCCCTAACCTGTCCTTCCTCCCATCTATCCCCTCCTCCCACCTCAAGCCCCACCCCCATCTCATACCTACTAATCTCATCCCGCCCCCTTGACCTGTCCGTCCTCCCTGGACTGACCTATCCCCTCCCTACCTCCCCACCTACACTCACCTCTACTGGCTCCATCCCCGCCTCTTTGACCTGTCTGTTTCCTCTCTACCTATCTTCTCCTCTATCCATCTTCTATCCGCCTCCCCCTCTCTCCCTATTTATTTCAGAACCTCCTTCTCCTCCCCCATTTCTGAAGAAGGGTCTAGGCCTGAAATATCAGCCTTCCTGCTCCTCTGATGCTGCTTGGCCTGCTGTGTTCATCCAGCTCTGCACCTTGTTATCTCAGATTCTCCAGCATCTGCAGTTCCTGCTATCTCTGAAACAGCTTTTGGGATTCCCACTCTTGGCTGTAGAGAATAGTATCTATCCCCCTAATTATACTGTTCCCTACCACCACTACATTCCTATTTCTTCCTCCCATGTGAATAGCTCTCTGTACCAAGGCATCATGTGACATTTGCTAATTCTCCTTGGAGTCTCCGTTATCTACACAGCTTGCAACAACTTCATAGCTGTTGGACAATTGTAGGTAACTTTCTCCTTTTCTGAAGTGGCACAATGACTGCAGCTCAGACTTCAAATCCTCAATTCAGACTGGAAATTCCTCAAGCTGCAACACTTATTGCAGATGTGTTCACTCTGGATCAAATTGGTGACCAGCATCTTCCATATCCTGCAGCAGCAATACATCACCCTTTCAGCCATCACTACTGCGTTTGGTTCAACTTAAGTATCTGAGATTCTCTGCCCCTCACACTTCATTGTACTGATATTTTGTTTTTGTAACCTAAAAGGAAAAATAAATCACTAATATCAATCTAATACTTCAGCAGTTATATTTTGAAAAGAAAGAAGAAAAACACAGACTAATGACCCTACATTGAACTTAAAAACTAAAAATATTCAGCAATCCTATGAACTAATCAGCTTCTTACCCTGCATTCACATCATACTGTGATTCATAATACCATTTTGCTGCTGCTCTCAATACTGGTAGGCCTCTCAATCCAAGCCTTTTATCCTCTTCTACTTTATAAAATCCCCACAGTGTGGAAACAGGCCATTTGGCCCAACAAGTTCACACTGACCCTCTGAACAGCATCCCACCCAGACTCATCCCCCTACCCAATTCCTGTAAACCTGCATTTCCCATAGCTAATCCACCTAACCTACACATCTCTGGACACTAATGGGGCAATTTAGCATGGCCAATCCACCTAACCTGCATTTCTTTAGACTGTGGGAGGAAACTGGAGTACCAGGAGGAAACCCACACAGACACAGGAAGAATGCACAAACTGCACAGAGACAGTAGTCACCTGAGGATGGATTTGAATGTGGGTCCTTGGTGCTGTGAGGCAGCAGCGCTAGCCGCTGAGCCACTGTACTGCCCACTTACCTCTCATTCTGGATAGTTTATATCTTACGGTAAATCCTAGGAAAGCACTTAGTTTCTTTTTGCTGCAAATTTCCAACAATATAGTCAGTAACTCACTTGGCCTTCACCTGACTCTGCTGAAGCCCCATGTCAACCCAAAGGTAGCAGATGCATAGGAACATCGCCAATTGCATGTTTCGCTCCAAACCACGCACCATCCTACCTTATCATCATTCCTTCACAGTCGCTGGGTCAAAATCCTGGAAATTTCCTTCCTACTTTACCCACATCACACGGACTCCAATAGTTCATGAAGTGAACAGAGACAGTGCGTGATGGCGGAGAGTTGTTTTTCAGATTGAATGCCTGTGACTAGTGGTGTGCCACAAGGATCGACGTTGGGTCCACTGCTTCTTGTCATTTACATAAATGGTTTGGATGTGAATATTGGAGGGATGGTTTGGAAGTTTGCAGATGACACCAAAATTGGTGGTGAGGTGGAAAATGAAGGTTATCTCAGAGTACAATGGGACCTTGATCAGATGGGCTGAGGAGTGGCAGGTGAAGTTTAATTTAGATAAGTGCCAGGTATTGCATTTTAGTTAGGCAAATCAAGGCAGGACTTATGCACATAATGGCAGGGCCCTGGGGGGTGTTGCCAAACAAAGAGATCTTGGGTGCAGGTTCATAGTTCCTTGAAGGTGGAGTCGCAGGTAGACAGGGTAGAGAAGAAGGTGTCTGGTGTGCCTTCCTTTATGGGTCAGTGCATTGAGTATCGGAGTTGGGATGTCATGTTGTGGCTGTACAGGACATTGGTTAAGCCACTTTTGGAATACTGCTTTCAATTCTGGTCTCCCTGCTGTGGGAAAGATGTTGTTAAACTTGGAAGGGTGTAGAAAATATTTACAAGGATGTTACTGGGTCTGGAGGGTTTGAGCTATAGGGAGAAGCTGAATAGGCTGGGGCTGTTTTCCCTGGAGCATTGGAGGCTGAAGGGTGACCTTATAGAGGTTTATAAAATCATAAAGGGAAAGGACAGGGTGAATAGCCAAGGTCTTTTTCCCAGGGTGGGGGAGTTTAAAACTAGAGGGCATGGGTTTAAAGTGAGAGGGGAAAGATTTAAAAGGGACCTGAGGGGCAACTCTTCCATGCAGACAGTGGTGTGTGTATGGAATGAGCTGCCAGAGGAAGTAGAGGAGGCTGGTACAATTACAACTTTTAAAAGGCATCTGTTTGGGTACTTGGAAATGAAAGGTTTACAAAGAAATGGGCCAAATGCTGGCAAATGGGACTAGATTAATTTAGGATATCTGGTCGCCATGGACGAGTTGGACTGAAGGGTCTACTTCCGTGCTGTACAACTCATCACCTTCTCAGAGGCAATGTCTACAACCATAAATATGAATATAAAGCATTCTCCTGAGCCTCATGATTACTAGTGCCGTGAAATTACCACTGTTTCCGGCATCAGGAATATGAAATGAGGGATAGGTGTACTGTGATTGGCTCCAATCTTTATATATTCTGATCATTTGAAGTAAATCTGATTTGTTTTGCTTAGTCACGTGTTTACAATAATAATTACCAGGATGTTACCTGGAATGGAGCGAAGGTCTTACGAGGAAAGGTTGAGAGAGCTAGGGGCTTTTCTGTTTAGAACGACGAAGGATGAGAGATGACTTGATAGAGGTGTACAAAATGATCAGAGGTATAGATAGAGTAGACAGCCAGAGACTTTTTCCTAGGGTGGAGGTAGCTATTACGAGGGGGCATCGTTTTAAAGTGAGTGGAGGTAGCTGTAGGGGAGACGTCAGAGGTAGGTTCTTTACTCAGAGAGTGGTAGAGGCGTGGAATGCATTGCCAGAGAGGGTAGTGGAGTCGGCCTCATTACGGGCATTCAAGTGGCTATTAGATAGGCATATGGATGCTAGTATAAGGTAGGGGTGGAGGTTAGATAGACCTTAGGATTAGGGTAAAAATTCGGCACAACATCATAGGCCGAAGGGCCTGTACTGTGCTGTGCTGTTCTATGTTCTATATGAAAATATTACTTGAAAAACTTTAACTGGTATAAAACTTTTATTAGTGGTATAGTGGCCTACTGTAATTGTTACTAGATTGTTGCAGAGACCTAGATAATATTCTGGGGACCCGGGTTCGAATCCTGCCATGGCGGGTGGTGGAATTTGAATTCAATAAAAATCTGGAATTAAGAGTCTAAAGATGACCATGAAGCCATTGTTGATCATCAGAAAAAACATATCTGATTTAATAATATCCTTTAGGGCAGGAAAGCTACCATCCATAACTTGGATGACCTACATGTGACTCCAGACCTGCAGCAATGCGATTAACTCTTGATTAACTCTGGGCAATTAGGCACTGTCAAAGAATGCTGGCCTAGTCAATGATGCCCTTATCCCGTGAATGAATAAAGTAAACTCATTAGGATAACAGGTTCACATGAATGTCACCTCATTTGTTCTCGGACAATGGTATAAGAACAGTGGATGGTGGGTGAAAGTTATGTGGTTCTGCACAGAGAGGGAATGGACAGATTTCTTGTGTGTATTTATTGCCTCATTTATCTCTACATTTACACCATGAGCACATGATTGGTATGGATTTGGAAGTGATCTAGTGGTATTCAGATAATACAAGAAATTTGCTTCTATAGTACCTTTGTACAGAAATCAAACTATCATCTTACCGAGATAGAAGACGTAAGGTGAGATGATGCTGCCCACCCTCGAAGCCATCGAGCTCAATCCGACACCCATGTTTCTCACTGTGGTTGGATACAGCTCACTAGTGTAAACAAAAACTATTGCAAAGGCTGTTGTGGTTCCAAATTTTCCGATCATTACTAGCACAGTGGAAATTGCTGCAAGATCTAGAAAATAGACAAGTTAACAATCAACTTAGTGGAAGCAGTGGCTTACAAGTGGATGTCTGTGCACTTCTGCCAGATGTTCGATATAGGGATGTTAATTTATAAAAAAAAACTCGACAGCCAGGATTACATGTTACAGATTTATGATGGTGCTCGTAATTGTTAGCAAAAATACTGTAGCTTCATGAAAGTTACATTGGCCTAAACACTGCTGTCATAATAATGACAAGGTTGCTTTTCAGGTTAAAAGCCACAGCAGCTTCTATCAATGGCAGATACAGAATTAAGGCACAGCAATGAGAAATCGCTTTTGGAGATGAACTGCTCTACTGTTAACTTCACAATTAAATATTTTGAATGCTGTCAAGCTTTTCCTTTTTCTTTTATTCTTTCATATTTATTTTTATTTTCCTTTTTTTTAAATTTCTCTTTCGACACTTAATATGACATTGATCATTCTAATGTATACTTCCATTCCAACAGTTGATAGTATTTCAATAGTACTTAGCTGGCTGTAAAGCCCTTTGAAAAGTCTGGCGGGTGTAAGACGTGTATATAATTGCAAGTTTTCCTGTTTTCTTGAAGATTTTCCAAATCAGGATGGTGGTGCTTGCAAGAAAACTTACAGGAGGTGACTTTAACATGCTTCTTTTAGGTGGCAGATTTGTAAGTTACTGCAGGGAGAGACCTGGCAAGTTGCTGCAGTGCAATTTGTAGATGGTGCACAATATTACCACGGTGTGCTGATGCTGGAGGAAGCAACTCTTTAAGATAGTGAGTGGGTGCCAATCAAAAACATGGTTTTGCTCTTGATGGTGTTGAACTTCATAAGTTGGAGCTGTACTAGTTTGGGCAACTGGTAAGTACTCCACCATCCTCCTAACTTGTGTCTTGCAGATGGTCGAAAAGCTTTTAGGTTTCAGAGTTGAGATACTCGCCACTCTTTTCTTAGTTGTTGACCTGCTCTTGTTGTTCCAGCATTTTTGTGACTTGACTAGTTAAATTTAGATCCATGAAATCTCCTTGCAAATGTTAAGTTGTGCAAGTGGAATTGCTCCTGGGAGTCCAACAGCTTTAGAGAGAGAGAGAATTTGCTATGTCAAAAGTACCGGCTGTTTTCCAATGCTGATTGAAAAATACATGAGCAGCCAACTTTTCAGATAAATGAAATAAGGCTTATGGGAAATCTAGAAAATAAAAGGCAATTGTCACCTAGCATTAAAGGTAAGGGTATAAAGTGGAATAGTTTAAAGTTAAATGTGAATTCCACCACATTCTGCTCAGGAGAGGAGGAAGATGACCATAGATCTCAGAACAAAGATAATCTATATGGGTTGATAAATCTATCACAAAGCACAAAATGACGATTAATGTTCTCTTCCAGCTATGATTATGGTGAAAATTTAAACCAATTTAAGCAAAAAATTCCATTTATAGAAATTGTGTACATATCTAATTATGTCTTAATGTGACAACACAAATCATTTTGGCCGATATACCACTGAATGACAGAAAACACGGTTGGGAATAAGGTGGCATAGTGGCACTGTCAAAGATTGTATAGAGATGGCATGGACATGATAAAATGTTTTTAAAAGCTGTAACTTCTTGTTAAAATTCTAACCTGAACTTTGCTGGTCTAAGACATGACAATCAGTCACAGAACCATAAATTATAAACGAATTGAATCAGGACAGAGATCAGAGTGCAACCTTTTAGAAACTTATACCTTCATTGTGTGAGTGTTGCAGTCAAAATCCATATAAAGGAGCAGAAGACTGTGTTTTGACAAACCATTTCTGGACAACAAATGGGCTATTAGGCTGAAATGATGCTAATAGCATGATTCAGTTCATACCAACAAACAATGGTCAGGATTAAAAGCATAGAAACTACTCTGTTAACTAACATGATTCAGCCAGTAAGCCCATCACAGAGCCAAACCCTCTTGGACTTTGAACAGTTTAATTTTTACTGCTGGACAGCCTTCCTTTAGTGAAGCGAGAGCTAGTCCACTGAGAACAACATGGTCTGGTAAAAAGCTACCCAGCCATTAGCACGCTAGTCCGGAGACAGCCGGTTTACTGTTAATATCACTACCTGCAAGATTCTTTCAACAGAAGATCAGATTTCAAGCTCAGCTAAGCCCACCTTTAGTCTCAACTTCTTTGAAATTCAGTTTTCTGGCAAATTCTTCTTTTATATGTAAAGTGGATCAACCATACTGCCATGCCTTCCACTATCCACTATTAGGTATTCACTATCTGCAAGGCCAGCCAACAGCGAGAAACTTCACTGGGCAATGATTTTTCAAACTCAAAAGAATTGAATGAATTAATGCTCATCACTTCAATCTTTATGCACTTCATGTTTGTACTGTCTCCTTTCCTTCTTTTCCCTGCTTTCTTCCTTTTTCAGTTGTTGTGTGCAAGTGTTGCCATAATCACCCGATCTGTAAATCATTTAACTTCATAGAACAGAGGGTTTTAGAAGAAGGACACCATGGCTTATGTTCAAAAGGAACAGAGGGATTTTTTTTCGAAGAATACTTCTGCTTTAAGACAAGGGAAGGGAACAGTAAAATAATTAGATTTGCCTCTCCCTCTTGTCCATAGTAGTATTCTCAGAGAGGGGAAAATGCCATCATTTTGGCATGCATTTGCAATCTTTGAATCTGCAGCAATATTCAAGAACTTTCTAACATGGTAGAAAGGACTCCATTCTGTACTCAAATTCAAATGAAACACAGAACTGAAATCAGCTCCTTTCCCCGACTGAGAAATTAACAATGTCTAAAACATATCTACCTTTTCTCGTCAATATACATGTTGGCATTCTGGCAGTTACATACACCATTAAGAGTGGCCTCAACAGCAAATTTCCATCAGGCCCAGGCAATTTGTTCGCAATGCAAGTTTGAAGCTGAAATAGGGTAAGTCCGCCCTGAGGGACTATAGCTACCCTGATTAGATCGTTTCTCACAATATATCACACAAACTCATGAAGGGGCCTATGTCCATCACATTTGGTCTTCAAATGTGCCTAATCTACCTCAGATAAGTTTGAATAACAGGTGAACCAAGCTATTTCACGCTACTACTACCCAGTAACATCACAAGTCATGTTCAACACTCAAAAGATGTTGAAATGAAACCAAAAAATGTTCTGGTTATTACCAAAATGAATAATTGGTGTGTGAATTTCAGTGTTCATGTGATGCTAGATATGTAGACCATATGTTTCAAACACTAGCAGATCATACCCCTTCTGCTGCTTACAATAAGCAAGGGTACTGACGGTAGCCAATCAGCCCATGCTTACAAATCTCGCAAGTGTCCAACATTAAATGTGATTCTGTAATTGCACAGCATTTGCTAAATAATCCTTAATCAATAAAGAATTATGCTGACAACTAAGTTAGGATTGTCAGCTGGACTACACTAATACATAGGGTCCGTTCTTTGCAGGTCTCCAACATCTACAGTGCAGATGTATGGCTTTGTATAACTGGTAGAATTAAGAATGAAAAGGCAGTTTAACAATTCAGCTATTCAACCAATGCTGATATAGAGTAAAATATGGCATACATAAAACTGGTTTGGAGGTCCTAATGGGACACAATTTCCCCTTCCCCCACACTTAATGTTCTCATCTCTGCCTCATCCTCAACACAAGCTAGGCCAGTGAAGTTGTGTTCGTAGTTTGTGGAATAATCTGTCAGAATGCTAATTTTTTTTAAAGCTTATACTACAGGTACACTTCAACTATTCATGAAATGTTCCTTAAAACAAATATTGATTAGGTTATGATGTTTTTAGGTGCACTATAAAACATTTACTTGAAGGAATGGTTTGAATGAAGAAAAGGACAATTCCACCCAGAAACAGAGTGCTTGAAAGGCTGAACCTTCGGGAAAACCTCTGCAGCAAAAGGCAAGATGCTATATAGGCCGGAACTTCGATGGCACCAGCGAAGAAACAGTTCAAATAGTCATCACCATGGAGATTGGGTGTGTTCAAAGACAGACTAAAGTATTCAGCTGTTAAAATCATCCTGCAACGAGAAGACAAAATCATCTTGTAAAATGAGTTTTAAAATAGTTCTTTCCCTATCCCTTTTTTTTTTAAATTTTGGTTTTAGCATGATTTTCTTTCTCACTGATTTTTATTCCCTATTCAATTTTTTGGTTCTCACTAGGAACGCAAACAATGCATCTGCTCTCTATACCCCACATTAATGTTAAATATTAGAATATATTCAGATATTCTCTGCAGATAACCAGTCATCTAAATTTATCCTACTCTCCACTGAGAACTAACTGCATCTGTTTTGGAATTTGCTTGAAAAATCAAATGCTGTACGCATACCTGTATCTGTGATTCCATTCAACAATTTATTCTTCCATTAACTCAAGGAGTAGCACAGCATGTTGGCTGCCAATAATCCATCTAGCTGCTCAAAGACTGAGCTAGTGAGTTCCCTTCTTGCCTACCTTCAGTGTGACAGAAGTACATTTCCTGTTAGCTTTAATTAAGCTTTTTGGAGTATTTGCATTGGTTCACATTCCCATAGCATTGGACTTTGGCACACTTGGATGTCATTCAATATACAACATTATTTTCTTCCCTCTTAAATTGTACGATATTACTTTGCATATTTCCTGCATTTAATGTAATCACCTAAATATCTACAAATTGAGATAACAATCTGCAGATTTTGTAAGTTGGGTCAAAATCCCACAAGGAATCTCTGACACTGTCAGAATTTGTGGGGTCTTGTAGAGAAGATCAATTCTTTTGAATGGAAATGTCTCCAGGGCATAGACTATGTTGATGGTTTATGGGGCTAATTGCTGAAATTTGGGACTGTCCTGAATGAGGTAGGCACTTCTGAGATCATCAACTTTCAGAAACACAAATTGGAGAACTTTTTGAATGACAAAAGTCTCATAGCTGTAGAGGATGAGACATTATGTTCTCTGTTTACACCAATTACTAAAGTCTGCAGCAGGCAAACACAAATCCAAAAATGAATGTTAACCTTTATCTCAAATGGCTACAAGAGTACAAAGTGATCTTTCAATTGGACAAACTGTGTTGAGCCAGCTACTGAAGTGCTGCATTGAGTCTGAGGCATCGTCAGGGTAGGACTCAGATTTTCAAGAACAGTAACAGGATATATGGAGTTAAATTATGAAGGGAGTTGCACGACCATCATTTGTATTCTCTCACCTTTAGGAAAGTGAAGTATGATCGAATTGAGGCTTTTAAAATGGTAACATAATGCAATAGGGTAAACACAGAGAAATCATTCCCTTTTCTGTCAAAATCTTAAAATTATAGCAAGACCATTTATGAGTGAAATTAGAAAGTATTTTTCACACAAAATATTGCAAAAATCTGCCATTTTCTCCATCAAAATGGTGCAATCACAAGTTTAATATTTTAAGAGAAACTGAGATTTGGTAGAAATTTGAGATTTGTTAGCAAGACACTGATTGAAAGACAGAACGTATTTGAGATGAGAATGGCCGATACTTTTACTTGCATGCGACATGGCTGTCCCCAACAAGGCTAGCATTTGTTGCCAATCTCTAATTCTTTTAGGTGATTGTGAGCCACCTTTTGAACCACTTACCTGGAAAGAAATTCCTAGACTTTGATCTGATAACAACGAAGGAATAGTAACAAATCAGGATGGTGTGTGAGTTGGAAGGGAACTTTCAAATAATGGTGCTCCTGTGTATCTTCTGCCCTTGCCTTTCTCAATGGTAGAAGTCATGGGTTTGAGAAGTCATGTTGAAAGAGCCTTGGCGGGTTGCTGCAATGCATCTTGTACATTGTGTATATCACTGGCAGTCTTGTTATTGGTGGAGAAAATGAATGTTTCAGTTGGTGGATGCGGTGCTGACTAAGTGAAATACTTGTTCTTGGATGATAGGTGAGCTTGGTGAATGTTGTTGGTATGATACTTATCCAGACAAGTAGAGTGTATTCCATCACATCTTTGACTTGTGCCTTGTAGACAGTGGACCAGTTGTGGGAGTCAGGTGGTGAAAAACTCACCTAAGAATTGCTAGTCTCTGACCTGTTTCCGTAACTACTGTATCTGTACATGTGGTCCAGCTTCAGCTTCTGGTCAGTAGTAACCCTCGAGCTGTTGGTAGTGCAGTTACGTCATCAAGGCAAGATGGTTAGGTTTACTCCTGCGGGAGATGGTCATTGCCTTGCACTTGATGTGGAGCCAATGTAGATCAGCAAAGAAAACAACAACGAGTGAAAATAGTTGTTTTTAAAAAAATACATTAATGAGATGTGGACATTACTGGCAGTGTTAGTGGCAGCGAGAAAAATCTGTGAAGTGGTATGCCTATCTCAGGAAAAAATGCCAAGAGAGACAGTTTTTGTTCTTCCAAGGTGTTGGGCTGCAGTCATGCCAGCCAACGCAGATAAAAGTTACGAGGCAGTCACAGGGTTGCGGGGTCCTGAGTGTCGGGCTGTTTAGAAGGCACACCTTGCTCTGCAATGGGACTTCATCCCAGTTATACAAAACTACAGAAAGGCCCTCCAGCCCTCACCCACCTCAAACCCCATGCTCCATTCACATCACATCATGCCCCAACAACTTCCACAGACCCACACGCTCTCTATGCCAATGCATGTTTCCCAAAATGCCCCTATTGACCCGATAGCTTTGGCAATTCCATGCCATTCACCTATTGTACAGTGCATATGAGCAATGAACTACCTAACAACATCAGGATATGCAAAGTGAAAACCTTTATCTACTTACCTTTCAAAAGGTTCCCACCTGCAGACTGTGATTTACAACTCTGAGGTGCTGTCAACCACAGGATTTTAACAAAGCTGGCCAGATTGCATAAAAATTGCACAGGGAAAGGACATGCCTATCCCCACATTGGAGCTGCCCAGGCTGGGAATGCTGGGTGCAGGCTTGTGACTTGAACTATCTGCACTCTTAAAAAGATATTCCTGAAAATCTGAAAACCCAGGAGCGGAGTCAGGAACTTCAGATTTTTACACATTTTTACATTGGTCCAGACTCATTCCAACTTGATGAAAATACCGGCCCATGTCTCTGGATCATAATTCCAGGTCTCGGCATATGTGAATAAGCCACACTGTAACAAGATCCTGCTTAACTATGATTTAAGTCTATAAGGTGTGAGGCTGGAAAAACACAGCAGGTCAAACAGCATCCAAGAAGCAAGTAAGTCAACATTTCAGGCCAAAACCCTTCGTCAGGACTGTGGAGGGGACAGAGCCCAGAAATAAATGAGGGGGCGGTGGTTGGGGCCTGGGGAAGGGTATGAGAAGTGGTGATAGGTGGATGCAGGTAGGGGATTACTGTGATTGGTCTATGGGAAAGGTGGAGCAGATAGGTGAGTAAGAAGATGGACAGGCTAGGTTAGGTCAGGTCAGGAGGGGGAGGGCCGGACACGGGTTAAGGCTAGGGGTGGAGGGATTTTGAAGCTGGTGAAGTCAATATTGAGGCCATTGGGCTGTAAGCTCCCAAGCTAAATATGAGGTGTTGTTCCTCCACTTTATGTTTAGCCTCATTCTGACAGTAGAGGAGGCCAAGGATGGACATGTCGTCAGGGCAGTGGGAGGGGGAATTAAAATGGACGGCAACTGGAATGTTGTGTTGGTTGTTGCATGAGAGCGCAGGTGCTCCGTGAACCGGTCCCCGAGTTTGTGTTTGGTCTCCCCAATATAGAGGAGACCACATCAGGAGCAACAGATAACATTGGATGAAGTACAGGCGAATCCCTGCCAGAGTTGGAAGGTTGTTTTGGGCCTCGGATGGAAGTGAGAGGGGAGGTGTGGGGGCAGGTGTTACACCTCCTGCGGTTGCAGGGAAAGACACCAGGTGCAGTGGAGGGGTTGGTGGGGAGTGTGGAGCTGACGAGGGAGTTGTAGAATGAACTGTGGAAAGCGGCTGGGGTGGGGAGGGAAGTATCTTTTGCGTGCTGGGTTCTGCTTGTAGGTGGTAGAAATGTTGGAGGATTGGATTCGGAGCTTGGTGGGGTGGTATGTGAGGACTAAGGGGACTCTATCCTTATTGCTGTTGGGGGGAGTGGGTTTGAGGGCAGAAGTGCAGGAAATGTGGTTTAGGGCATCCTTAATTACACAGGAGGAGAAATCATGGTCCCTCATGTAGGAGGATATCTGGGGTGTCCTGGAGTGGAATGCCTCATCCTGGGAGCAAATGAGGTGGAGGCGGAGGAATTCGGAGTATGGGATAGCATTTTTCCAGGAAGGTAGGTGAGAGGAGGTATAGTCGAGGTAATTGTGGGAGTCAGTGGGTTTGAAATAGATGTTGGTGGCGAGTCGGTTTCTGGAGATGGAGACGGAGAGGTCCAGGAAGGGGAGGAAGGTTATCAGAAATAGTCTGGGTGAATTTAAAGGCAGGGTGGAAGGTGTTGGTGAAGTTGATGAACTGCTCAAGCTCCTTACAGGAGCACAAGGCCGCACCGATGCAGTCATCAATATAGTGGAGAAAGAGGTGGGGGATAGTGCCAGTGTAGTCGCGGAAGAGGGACTGTTCCACAAATCCTACAGAGGCAGGCACAGCTCAGGCCCATGAAGGTGCCTATGGACACCCCTTTGGTTTGTAGGAAGTGGGAGGAGTCAAAGGAGAAATTGTTGACGGTGAGGACCAGTTCAGCCAAACTGAGAGTGTCAGTGGAGGGGGACTGGTTGGGCCCATGGGAGAGGAGGAAGCAGAGGGCTTTTACTTCCTCTGTGTGGACGATGCAGGTGTACAGGGACTGTGTGTCCATGGTGAAGATGAGGTGTTGGGGGCTGGGGAATTGAAAGTTTTGGAAAAGGTGGAGGGCATGGGTTGTGTCATGAATATAAGTAGGGGGTTCCTGGGCCAAAGGGGAAAGAATGGAGTCGAGGTAGGAGGAGATGAGCTCGGTGGGACAGCAGCAGCCAGAGACAGTGGGTCAACTGGGGCAGTCTAGTTTATGGATTTTGGGTAGGAGATAGAAACAGGCAGAGTGGGATTGGGGAACTATCAGGTTGGAG